ATATGGAAAGCTTAGGAGCAGGAGGCCTAACTAACTGTATACAAACTTCCAGTTTGGACCTGAAGTCACGTTATTTTAATTCAAAAATTTTCTCCTGACTGAGTTAGATAGATGACTGGCATAACTCTATTGTTAACAGGAAAAGTGTGATGTACAGGGGCACGGCAGTACTAAAATCGAGATTATTGTATATATTTTAAATTAAATAAATTAAAAATTGCAGCCCGGCATTGTTGGCGATGTCACAGTAAATAGTTGCTCGCATTATATTGCATTTGTAAGCATTTTTATGCATAAAATGCTGCTAAAAAAATAAAAAAAAGGCATTTTTTGGGGGGTTAGGAATAAATAAATCCATTTTATATTGTTTCTTATAGAANCAAAGAAACCATTTAATAAAACAAATATATAGATTTTTTTCATTTAAATTTTCCTAAGAAAATAGATATTTATTTTGCTAATGTTCAACAAAATAAATCAATTATCTGCTAATCCTTTCTATATTTTTGGTTATTTTTTTACATTTGAAATTAGAAAAATTATTCTATGAGAAATGAGAATAACAACAATGATTACTCTTTATAATTTATTATTATTATGTGATGTTGTTTGAATGTATCCTTACACAGCACATATACCAGTATCTACTGCTAAACCAGATCAAAGTCAAGGCATACTGTTGTGGCGGTACGCCATGTCTTTGTAAATAGGGGTAGATATAAGTTTTATTTCTCCTAAATTCCTTTGTCTTTAACGTGTTTCTAGAACTTTCTAACCTATTCTTTTTCTATGAGTGGGGGACCTTTGTCCAAGGACAAAAGGAGAAGACAAAAGGGGACATTAAGAAGCCCTGGAGGCCATCAATAAAACAAACAAGACACTTTTGGGTGAGCATCCGAGGTGTACAGACGGAAAAAGGAGCAAGCCAAAGTTTTGTCGCCTAGTGGGACAAAAAGAGGAGGCTTGGAAGTTGTCTGTGAACAGATGAAAATTACAAGGACATCCAGATTAAGACTTCAAAAACGCTCTCGAATTCTCAAGAGACGGAATCAAGAGGAAGAAAATTGATTTAATTCAAGTGCCGATTTAGAGAAGATCGGAGACTGCCAAATTTACCCGGGTACCCCACAAAATCTGTCCTTTATACTTGTCTCTTCTATTCGTATCTCTTAATTTCTTCACCCTTCTTCCTTAGCATATAAGTTAGATTAAGGTAGATTTAAGTTAGTTGTAGTATTTCAAACCATCATTTTGCATTGTCGCGAGCACTTGGCTCCTGCCCGTGAAAGCATATAAAATTTTGTCGAACGGCTTCGAACTTGTGTGCGTACTATAGTTTGGGATCAAGTGTGTTTAGTGTAAACGAACCAGGTGTACGAAGGACTATGTAGCTGTAGTTGAATAAATATCCTATTTAATTTATGGTTACTGCTTTGTCATCCTTTTTTTTTTGTCCTCCACACCACCACACTGTAACTACAGAAAACAAATGTTTTGTTTGCTTACTGTTTGTGCTTGTATCTGTGTTTAAGAATTTCCTATATGATAAGTGTTTAGTAAGGCAGCCTTTTGTAAAATGTGATATACATGCTGTTTTGAGATTTTCATGTAATGTTCAACCCCTGAAAAAAGTATGGAATATTTCATAATTGTTGTGGAAAAATTATTTTGACCTTGAAATAATCAAATTCACAAAAATATTATTGAACTTTGTCAATGGAGAAAATATGTGTAGAATTTTATGTAATTCATGTACTGTACATGAAATGCATTATGTACTGTACATATGTCTGAACGTGTTAATTCTGGTTGAATGTGTTTTAGTAATATGTGTATAGAGTAGAGCATCAATTATCCGAAACGTCAATTATCCAAAAGAATTCCAGTCGGCAAATTTAAATTTTTGCCAATGCTGTGGCGCTGCAATCTTTGGCTATGTCTTGGGCTACTCAAATATTTTATGTTTTTGATACTAAATTAACTTCTGAAGTATTATTTTTTATTGTTTTTATATTTTTCAATATATTTATTTTGTTTGTACAAAATTAAAAAAAAAATATTTTAATGATACAATAGTCACGATTATTATTTTAAAAAGTTTACATTAGGCTTAACATCGATGAAAATTCAATGCGAAGCGACACGCAACGGAGAAAAATTTCAACATGGGATAGGTTAATATATTTTTTCGTATGTAATCGGTTATCCAAAATATCGATTTTCCGAACAACCCCAGTCCCCAATTGATTCAGATAATTGACGCTCTACTGTATTTAGGTAGTGAAAAGTTTTCCCACGTGTTTTGATGTGTATATTTTGGGTATTTTTGTCTCTCTGAGATCTAAAGCTATATATTTAGCAAGTGTTTCTTGAGATAAATTAATTAACACATACAGTTTTAATTAATTATGTGTCTATAGTGTCACTGGTTGAACTGTTGTGCTAATGTTTTCATTGGTATGTGTTATGCTGTGTACGTTTTCTTGAGTAACAGATGTTAAGACACTGTCAATGAGTGTTTGATCTACCATATGATCTTGTGTTTCTGAGAGTTGATGTATCTTCTGTTCAGCCTGTTGTTTGATATATTCAAGCACTGTTTGTGGAATAAGGTTGTTGTGCATAATTGATCTTTTGTGATTAACCATCCTTTGCTCTGTAGCAGTGAGATGTGGTTATTTTTGTATGAACTTTTCATGTAGTATTTGTAAACTGTCATGTCTGTTTCAATTTTTGTGATGATGTAGTAGGTATGGATGATGTTGAATTCATTCATTTCTTGAGTTCACTTCATCCAATGGCATGGTTTTCCAGTCCAGCATTGATGGCTAGTGGTTGGATTGCCACTTAAGGACTTTAGCTAGGTTGTGTATTTGTTTGTTTGTGTGTGTCTGTGATGAAGTGGTAAATGTGTTTGATGCAGTAGTAACCATATTTCAACAAACTTTGACTATCCTCACTGGTGGCCAAAGGATACTAAGACAGAACACGAACATGAGTCACTGCCTAACCCATGAATGCAGATCTTGTGGAACCATACAATGTCTGAGCCAGTATTATGCTGTAAACATGTAATTACTATTTTTGTTTTCTCCACAGAAGCAGGTGTGCTTGTATACCTAAAGCCAGGTGTTTATAAATCAATTGTCACTAACATGGAGATCAGTTGCTGTTTAACAGCTGCCCACTCTAGATCAGATACTATATGTGGGTCACTCTGCTTCATTTCTCTCTATAGATCTTACTGACATGGGTTGTCCTAGTGGAAACAATGACTCATAGAGTGATGCTCCTGCTGGCATCACTATATGAGTCATTGTAACTACTGAGCTCTCTCAGTCTAACAAGGTGGTGACTAGTGAGAGAGTTATTATTGTTGTTGTGTTTAGTGGGATATACTCGGTACACACCGGTGGCTGTGTACTATGCCGGACCAGCGTCAAGGCATAGCAACCAAAACAAAACTAAAATTAAATGTGTGTGTCAGTGTCAGTGTCAGTATTAAGGAATTTCCTAACAATATGGCATGTGTTCAATATAGTGGCCTTCTGTAGTGTGATGTATGTATTTCTACTCAATTGTAATGTTCCCAGGCTTTTGTGTAGCGTGTGTGGTATCACACCTGTACAGGAGAGAACGACAGGTACAATAAGCACCCTATCCATCCTCCACAGATGCCTGATTTCCTGGGCGAGTTCTGTGTACT